TGATCATTCCCATATTCATTTCAATTTAAGAGCCACCGGTATACAACTGTTTCAGCCTATTGGGCATCGTCAGTACCGGGCAGGCGGTCCTCGATTGAAGACAAAATGAGAAAAGCACCCTTGAAGGGTGCCTAGAAGATAGTTCAGTAGTTATAGTTATTTAATAACAAATTTGATTGAAATGTGTCTTGGTGTCTTGTAATAGGTCGAAATGAAAAAACGGAAAACAAAATTTTAACACTACCTTCCAGATGTTTTTTGAGAACGACTTTATAATTTTCATTCGGACTTTGTATTTTTAAACACTCACCAACCAATTGTCCACACCATCCCAGTATTCCATTGATGAAATAGACGGTAGCTAAGAAAGCTATTACGCCAGCAACTATACCGTGTATCATTCCGATTGCATTTGCTGCTCCTTTACTCGCTGCGTCCAGAACTGATTCATATTCTCTGTAATGAATTGAACATACTTTCACTTTTTTTATCGAAAAATTTGATGATAGTAATAGTATCTTTATTGAAGAAATATTGCACTATCGGAGTCAGGCTGGAGGTGGATATTATTGAAAATAATAAATGAATAATTGTTTACTGCCGAATGTTTAGTTGGAATGAGTTTTGGAGAGACAAACATTTTCAAATATGAAATTTCATTCACAGGCAAAATTGTGACCATTATTCCTCGATATGGTTTCATGTTTGAAATAGTGGTAATCGGTTTTTGCTGATCATTTTTTGTATACTTTGTAATGAGAGACAAGACAAAATTTGATTTCCACCTGTTCGAATTTGTTGTGTTGTCTACCACATTGAACCTCTTTTCCAGTTCGCAGATTTATCACAAATTGTATTTTTTTCATAAATCCTTCAACTAGGGAGAGCTGAAGACAAGGTCTAACTTTTTAACGTGTGATTCCCAACACGGTGCAACATATTTGGAGATATTGTGGTTTTGACGGTGTGGGAGAAGTGATTTTCTGAATAAAATATCTACAAACTATCAACAATCGATATATTTATCAAATATTCACTGTTAGCGTGACAATAAAAAATGCAACCATCTTAAGTTTTTTGGTGCTAAATTTTCAGTTCAGCTTCCACTGACTTTTGGACAAAAATGTTTTTCGATAACAATGGAGATATATCTTAAATTCTGGATATTTACATATACATGATTAAATAAGAGCTAATATCACTTCCATTACCAGTGGTTCTTCTTTTGGATTGCGAATACAGTCCAATGCTTCTTGCTCAATAGTATAGTTCAATTAAACGATATAGTGCAACCTACCTTCCAACAGCTCCCCTTCATTAATATAGTTATGGAGCTAACTAATTTCGTTATTCAATAATCATTCCTGATTATATAAGAATCACAATAACCATCGCTATTGGAATCACCACACTGAAAAGTCTACGTTGTTATCACTCTCGTTATTACTATTAGTACTTGTCCAAGGACGCCACATATTGAACGGATATCAAAAACTTCAAGTAATAATAACTGCACTAATATTGAATTTCAACACTCAAATCAGATCAGTTCCTGAACTGAACACGACGGCGATAAACATCCCCCCATTCCCGAAATACCATTCGTCACCGCAACATGACTTCAAATTCAATTTTATGACTCTCCAGCTAATCATAAAACTCGGTTAGTAAAAATTATCCAATACGAACCGCCAAGTTTACAGTCCACGAGGACTAATTTGCTGCCGGTTCATTTCTATGTTGAATTGATGGATATAGCCGTTACTACGTGTAGGAAATCATAATAAAGAAAAGGGAAATGAAACTTTCTATGTTTTTTAACACTTTTATTAGTAACTAACGTTACTGCAGCTTCGTCCTATACGGACATTTTCAAACTTCTACAATAAGCTAACAATGGTTCATTACATTACCACTTATATACCACCCCTGTAGGTACTAATGGAGGTACTTGGCTTGATTGGGTACCTGAATTCACAGTTTTCAATACGGATGGGCCACTTTAAAAACAGGTGAGTAAACTTAATCGATTTGATCATTTAACAGGTTGCAATCGCAATGTTTATGCTTGTGAATTTCCAAGGATTTTAAATAATTGAGTTTGTAACCGTTCCTTGCATGGTGCAAAATTTCATTTTTTCCTAGTCTGAAAAATCTTTCATGTTCAGCTTACCGTTTTTGGAAATTTCGGCCACATTGTCCCACATAAACACTATTACACTCCGGACACTTAAGCTTACAATCTCCAGATTTCTCCAACTTGTCCACCTTATCTTTGGCATTGAAAAAGAAATAAGGTAACCTGGCATGTGGTCTAAATGCTACTTATAAATAAAAGTGGTAAAAACACATAGAAAGTTTCATTTCTCCTTTCTTCATCATTGTATTGTTTTTTTTTTATTTTGAGAGTGCCGAAAACTTTAAGAGTGCACCATATCGTTTACTTCGACTATACCAGGAAAACTTTTCGTGATCCTTCGTGATTTCAACGTGCGCTCTCTAGTGCGACCTCTGGTCATTATGTGATATGACCAGATCTTGTTGGATTCAGAATATGATCTCCGAAAATTTTTATAATAACGTCTATCATTGCTAAACGAAGTAGCCAAAATCAACGTCTTTTTCGCTTGAGATTGTCCTGTTCATTTTCATTTTTATGTAATTGCTATTGATTGTTTGGGTTCTTTTATTAGTAACTGCTTATACGATGTGATGCCAATATATTGTGTGAATTCGGTTTACAAGCTAGATTCGGTTTGTAAGGGAGTTTTTTCTTCTTTGACTTTATCTCCAGTCGTTACTTGAAAAGTTCAATAATAGATTTCAAAATTTTTCAAAAAGGTGTGCCTTTTATCGATCTTCACTTGCTATCGTCTAACCCGTGTTAGGAATCACACGTTAAAAGGTAAGACCTCGTTAATCCTCAGCTAGCACAAGTTTCGACTTCTGAGGGTTGTCGTTCGTAGGGGTGCGACAGCTGGTTAACGGAAAAATAGATTTTGAACATTTTTTTTTTATATTATGAGATTAATTGACCCAAATATTTCAATGTCGTTTATAATGATTTCAAAATGAATTGTTCTGCTGCAAAATGAAGGAGATATGTTCATATAGGAAATAATAAAACCCCATTCCAATTATACTCACACCTTCACTGATTTTATATTCTCCTTATTCATTCTGACTTCTTCCGTTTCTGGAAACATCAGCTTACTGAAGCAAAGAGCTGCTGGAGCAGACATTATACTGGAGGTGATCAAATCCTGGGCTCTAGCGCCAAAGCCAATATAAGCAGCCATTACGGATCCTAAATATATTCGGAAAAATAATAATAACTTAACTATCATTTCCCAAGTTTACTTGATGTATTTCACATAGATGGACATAACAAATTGGCCTTTATCAAGCGAACTGTAGGCTACTGCACAAAACGACACAAAGTCACACACAGAATTCAACCGCACATATGTCTAACATATTATCCGCTCAAAATTTGAAAAGTAACCCACAAAATTTCTTTGTTGTATTACTAGGATGACAATGAAACAAGTATGAAATCATTGGAAATAATATTTCATCTATATTAATCGAAAGTTAAAGCCTTATACCTATTATCTGATTTAGTCCTTTCTATGGAAGTTCTCGCAATAGAACTATATTCGAATAGAGATTCAGTTTGTGAGAATTACAAGTCCTTAACACAAATTGAATGTCTTGTAGCCATATTTCATTATTTTATAGTCACATGAATGCACATTTCCCATGCATATTTCCTAACAAGCGGACGCCACTTTAAACCTCACAAAACTATTCCAATATTTATTGATACTAGATGATCAATTATCGTTAATGAATATTTGGAATAATTCCATTGAACTTCAATATTGAAATATCAATTATCAAATAACTAACGTCAAAAACGTCACATAAAGGGTCAAATAACCTTACAGAATCATTCAACATTCGACATCAGGAATGAAAAAGTCTATGTTCACCAAAAAAAGGAAAGCATCCATTCATTTCATGTTCCCGATATCCATGACTGTAGCCATATTAAATCACACTAGGATCAAAATTATGATGATTTCATCCTCCTTGTTCGTTAAGAGTTGAAATTGACTAACCTCAAAAAGAGAGCTTCAGAAGATCTTATTCTTCTTCTACTTTTCGATTCAATGGCCTCAGCAACTAAGATTATCCGACCAGTTGATTACGAGCATTAAAAGATACTACCTGTCTGATGACACATCTGACAGACAGATCTGCTGTGGGGGAGAAGTGAAATCTATTTAATTCTTCATGATTTTTCAATTCTATTCTTCACTTTTTGAAATATTTAATATACATTTTGCATGATTTTCAGCTATGGTGCTAAATTGGGGTGAAAAGCTCGTAGACTAACAAGGACATTTTTTGTGAAATTTGACAATTTTGTGACAGATTTGACAATCACTTCTTCATCGGCACTGAATTTTTTCCAGCAAGCATTCTCTTGAGGTCTGAGAACGAAAAAATGTCATGAGTGACCGCCCTGGCCTTCAAACGCTCCGATAATGATATAGAATAGTCGCTGTGGATGAGTTTTCCCTTCTCAAGATAATCGATGACTATTATACCATTGGCATACAAAAATACTGATACCATAACCTTGCCAGCCGAGTGTTGCGTCTTTGCACGTTATTGACTCAGTTCACCATGTGCAGTCCACTCAGAATGATGGAGCGATGTTTCATCCATTGTCACATATCGAATCATAAATTCGTGTTGAACAGTTTCAAACATTGCTCAGAATCATCAATCCGTTGTTGTTTTTGGTAGATTGTAAGATCGCGCGTCACCCGCTTTGAACAGAGCTTTCGCCTACCCAAATATTCATGCACGATATGTCTAACACGTTCCTTTGATATCTTAAGAGCCTCATCTTTCTTGATCAATTTTTTTGATTTTTTCGTCGGTAAAAGCTTCTTTGGGGCGTCCACTGCATGCATCGTCCTCGGTTCATTGTCCTAGATAATTTTCCGTCGATCATGGAGCATGATCGACGGAAACATCATCTAACATTCAACTTATTGGTCCACGAAGAATAACTGATGCTACTCTCAATAGAGTAGTCTTTTTTGTATCTTGTGCTTCAGCGCAAAATTCATTTAGGGACGCTGGCTGATCTTGCGAAGTTGACGGTTAGTTGCATAAACTATCTTGGTACGTGAAGAAGACTATTGTGTTTTCCTTTACTTCACCTCATATCTTGTTTTCAAAAAGCATCCATTAGACATGTGACCTGTTTGTCAACATAAAAAACATAATTTCAAATTCAGTGCGAAATATCTTCTTTCTGGGACAATTTTTTTTTAATTTGCCACATTCTTTAATATCATGACTATCATCTTCGAAAAATACATATCCTGAAGTATATCTACGTTTGGTGTTATATTTTTTTGAAACCATCACTGTTTCTTTTCCTAAAACACATTTGTATATTCGAAATGGATTACCTGTTGATGTCATGGAATTTACTTCTTCTTCATACCATTTTGCGAAATCTTCAAGTGAAGTTGGTATTCCCTGTATATCTTTCTGATATTTGAATTTCCCCCAATTATAATTCTGAATCAGGGAAAGCTTATTCACCAAACTTATCAATAATTCCGGATTGAACAAATAAAGTATAGAATTGACATTTTTCATTGTAACCATTAATTTATTGACTGCGTTCAAAAGATATATGCAAGATTCAAATTTATCCACCCGCAACTGTCCAATTTTCTTGACTTTTTCAATCAGAGAAAGTAAAATCCACTCAGATCTGCCAAAATTCAACTCAAATATTTTAAGGATTTTAGGTACATTACTCGGTGAAATCGTTAAGGCTTTCACAGTTGCCCTAGCTCTTCCTTTGAGTGCCTCATCAAGACAAACAAAGTTTTCCCCATATGAGAAACAAAACTGCTCAGTATATCTTCTGAACTCAGCAATGAAAATAGGCCAATCTGTGAGTTTTGCTGAGAAATATGGAAGGTCCCTTGCTCTTCGTCTCATCAGTAATGCATTTGTATTTGCAGTAATTTCTACACATTTTCTAGCGATGTCAAGAACAATATCTCTATCACCACCTTCACCAAAGGAGGAAGAATAACATGGATGTTCGCAAATAGAATGACGCTGGTTGCTTTTTTTATCTAATTCTGATTTATTTTTGATGTACTGTTCATCAACGTTCAGATATTTTAGAGCATTACTATATTTTCTGGCATCTTCAACTCAATGATTCATGAAAACTGGATCTTAGTACAAATCCTGAGATGGTATAGACTTGGTTACACTCCCTGTTGTACTTTTTTGGGTTATTCTCTTCTGAATTTCAATTTCTTCAGAAACATTATTTCTTAATTTTTCAATAGCTGTCATACTTTCTTATGTTTCTTGCTCATCTAATTATTTGTGCTGCTGAATGAGTTTTAGTTCCAAGTTCAGCTTCGAAATACCCGACTTCCGGGAAAGATTGACTCTTCTTTTTTATTTTATTTCACTGAAAAACTGTTTGATGGAAACTGAATTATCTCTTGGCATTGTTCAACTTTTCTTCATTCCTTTTCAAACAAATTGTTAACAGAAAACTTTGTCTGCTTCTCTCATATACTTATTTTGCAATCTACTGGTTTTAGCATTACCAATAGGAACTGTATTCAGCTCTAGATCAGCATCATTCATCTCTGCAAATCTCATCGTTAGAACACCTTTTCGGCCCTAGCACTTCTGCGAAGCACAGTTTCACATTTTTTTGTAAATTTAGTGGCTGACTTTTCCATAGCGTGTTCTTGAGTAACTCGAAGGACCAATGTTGAAATTTCTTGGTTTAATAAACCTGGTTGATATCGTTTTAAATGGTATTAACCAATTTGACTCACAGAAATTCTCAATATTGAATTGTCTTGAAACAAGTGACTAATCTGTCAAAATGAAATATTAAACTTATATACAGTGTCTTCAACAGCGTGCATCGTCCTCGGTGCTCATTTCACTTCGTTTAAACGCGGCAAACCACTTCTCATTGGTTTATATTTTGTTGTGCAAGTATGAATAATGTTTATCAAGCCTTGGCTTTAGCAGTATTTTTTCCGCCAAAAAGCAATGCATTACTTACACACGGAGTTCCTTTTTATCCATTTTCTTCAAACTAACAGAAGTTGCTTTACCCAAAATGTTCTATCTCACAAACTAATGATCAGACAGCTGTGAAATTTGTAAATGTGTCTTTGAAAATTAGGGTTAACTGAAAATCATATGGATTTAATACTAGAAGCGCAATCCGCGTGTTAGCCTACGAAGTTTTCGGCCCATCTAGTATTGCCAGGTGTCGTTTGAATTCCGTTAATAAGTTGTCATCACTCGGAGAGAATAACGAACTATGGTGAATCAAGTATCTTTGACAATCAGTAGCAGTTACTCAACGACTCAGTTGAACTGCATCAAATTCAATATTAATAATAATTTGAGATATTTCACTATTTAATAAGCATTCACATATGGTCCATTGTCTACTATGATATAAATTGATTTGAAATTCCTGAAAGAATCTGTAAAAAAATTTAAAAGATTAGCTGAAGAAACAATTTTATTAAGCAAAAAACTGAAATTACAATGAAATAACATACAAGCAACAACCAAAGAAGCCAAAAAAATTGAACTATCAACACGAGCTGAAAAATTTAAAACCAGAAATCCAACCACCATCAATCGACTAAGAGAGGAATCATCAGGCCTCTACTAGACCGTGCTTTCGGTCTCTGCAATACAAAGGAAACTAGGCATCATCGAAAACGACCTTCCACGGAATGGTTACTCCAAGGAAGAGAAGCTGCCACAACCAGTACATGTACTTCCCTGCATCATTGTTGGAAAGGATAAAAAGGATAAGGTTCAAATATAAAATCAAAACCTGTTTCAGATCTGGAACCACTATCCGTAGCAGTCTCACGAAAACCAGGCCACCAAACGCGGACTGCGATTCCGAGAATTGCATTTACCGGATATCCTACGAGTGCGGAGAATCATACATCGGTGAAACTAAGAGACCATTGAAAGTTCGCATTGCCGAGCACAAAAAACACACATAGCGAGGAGAATCCAGCAAATCCGGAATAGCAGAGCATGTTTGGACGTATCAACATAACATCAAGTGGGCTCAGGCTGAAATCATCCACAAGGAGGAACACTGGTTGAGGAGAGAGTTCAAAGAAGCCGCATATATGTTGCCCAACATCGCATTTAGCCAAGCTAGCGTAGATATACGTAACATATGGAAATCTCTAATCAAGCCGAACATGACCAACTCCCGCCAAACAGTCAGCTCCCGCTAAAAACTAATAAAGCAGGGAGAGGGAAGAGGGGATAGGTGGAAGCAGTCTAATGGCTTTAAATTGTCAGATCTCGAAGGAATAAGTCCAGTTATTTCCCGAAGACGATTGTGAATTGAAATGTCGTGAAATAGCGGATCAATATTTCAACAGACAACAAGAGCGCACTAGGGGCTCTGACAAATCCGAAGGTGACATCAAAACTGGTCTGGGAATGCCATGAAGAACTGAATGAACTTACAAACAGGAACAAAGTAACTCTGTACTGGATGCCACGGCATTCAGGAATCACAGGTAATGATAAAGCTGATGAATGCGCTACACGCGGATCATCAACTTCATATATAAGTCCTGGTATATATATAGGTCTGGGGGTACCAAAATCATTGGTACGAAACCAGATTAGGACATAGACCAATAAGAAGCACACAGAGTACTGAAAAAAAGTACCTGGCGACAAACACAGTAAAACCTTCATTAGGCAACCGTCCGAGAAAAAACTGAAGAACTACTTCAATATAGTAGGAACCGGCTCAGAATAATTACAGGGTTACTAACCGGTCATTGACCGCTTAGAGGACACCTGAATAAAATGGGGCTTCACAACAAAGGGATAGAAACAGCTCTACATATCTTATGCGAATGTGAGGCACTGAATCACAGGATGCAGGCAATATATAGACGTACGAAATAACGTCCAGAAGAATATGATGAACATCCAACACAAACCAGTACAGGGAACGAGACTAATGGAATGGGTGCCATGAGAAGGTGGGAGAATAAACGCAATAAGCCCAAGAGGCTGCAGTGTTTTCTGGAGACTTGGATTACATAGACAAGTCAGACAGCTCCCAAGGTACCAGAAAAAAAACTTGCCTTGGAGTCATTTAATTTTATATTTTTAATTTCCATTTCTTGTTAATGATGTTATTGAATTGTAATTTCAGTTTTTTACTTAATAAAATCGTTTTTTCAGCTGATCTTTTTAATTTTTTCACAGATTCTTTCAGGGATTTCAAATCAATTTATATCATATTAGATAATGGAAGTACGAACTGATGAAATGCACCACAAAACATTGTCAACCACCTTCCAACAAACATTCACACATATGTTAGGTATCTGTTCTACCAAATCGAATATCTCGAACTTTGTCAAAAAATACTCACCAGAAACTGTCGCAAAACCAGATGTCATTATGGAGAAAAGTTCTGAGTCTGTTAGATCCCTCAGATACGGAGAAATTAGTAAAGGTGCTTCAGTCTGAAAATAGTATGAAAAATCTTAATATTCCTTTCAGATATTTGATGGTAATCAAACGAAAATAAAAATTCAGTAAAAAATCAAGTGATTAATTTCCGAGAACTTTTAACTCAGAGTAGATTAGTCGGTAATTAGTGACGATATATGAAACGAAAAGGAAATAGAACATCTGAGAGTGACAGTGACGAAATTATTCGGATACTAAATAAAATTCTATTCAGGTTACCACCCATTTGAATTTCCATTATAATTCATCAGTAGCAAAGATCACCTTTATAAAACTTTTTGTATTACGAGTCATTTTTATATTCTCTCCGTTGATTTGAATGTTGGAAATATACGTGGATAAAGTATTTGATAAACATACTTGATCAAAAAATATTTCAGTATTTCGTGTTAGGAATCACACGTTATTCCTTAGCTTGCACAAGTTTCGTCTTTTGAGAGTTGTCGTTCGTAGGAGTGCGATAGCTGGTTAACGGAAAAACAGACAGTTTACAAAAATCACTTCCTGAAATAGGCCTGGAATATTTCGACATGCCATTAGTTACATATGGACTTTTTTCTCAGATGATACTGAATTGAGATACAGATACGATGTTGTTATTCTAATCATATAGGAAGTTCAAAATATTATTAGTATCGATAACTTTTATCGAGGAAGAAACTCATTGCTCATATGACAGTCAGTATGCTTTTTTGTACATAATAGAACGATCCCTCCGTATGTTGAACGTCATTATTCAGTACTGTATTAAAATATCATATAGAAATTATTCCTCGATGATTATTAGCTTTGTTCTTCAAATCGACGGGATGTTATTCGATTCATCCCAGTTGTTCAAATAAACATCTATCCCGTCAATCTGGATTGATAATAATAATAATTATTGAGGAAAGTGTTAAGGGTCTTCGCTGCAAGAAAAAAACTGACCAAAGATTAGAGGTGATCAAATAATGATTATAAGTACCTTTTCTGGTTTGGGATTAAATCATTTTTCACATTTGTATGACGTGAACAAATTTTCTTTGGTTCCATTCTGAGACAGTACCAAATTGTAAACTCTTTTCAATACACAAATGATCCAGACAGTATGTAAGTGACTTATCAAAAATTGACTCTGCAGTAAATATAACTCAGATATAGTTTGAAGTACATGAATGTTGAATTGAAAAGAGATGAATGATTTTGAACTATTGTTTCACTATTCTTTCATAAAATTATTTTCGTTATGGAGTTGTATAATTTTCTTCACTAACATAAGTATTACATAAATGATAGAAAACATTTTCTACTACCAAATCTATTGCAAATGCATTTACTTCAATGCTAACTCGACCTGAATGGAAAAAATATTATTATCAGTTTTAATGTCGGGAAACCTATCTCCTCAATAATATTTCATAGAAAAATTTAATATTTTTCCTGAGAAATACAGTTAAATGTCTCAGTGGAATTATATAGAACCCTGATCATGAATAAGCCATAATGTCTAAAGACACAGTAAAAATAAAAATCTCAAAGTAAAGATTTAAAGAAATCTTGCTCTCCTATATTCATGAATAAATATTTTTATAAACTGAAAAATATATTCTCTTAAGTCGAATTTGAATCATTAATTCAAATGGACTGAATAAACGCTTATTTTAAGTAAACAAAAATATTCCACCAAGATTGTGCATACATTTCAATAGAAATCATCACATTAGCTCATGAGAAGTAAATATGCATTCTTTAGTCTGAGCAAAATTAATCTCGAAGCAAAACTGTTTTGGGTTTTGAAAGAATGATATGTTTACTTGGAACATTATTCAAATGTCTCTGTATGAGAAATTAATTGTTTTCCTTTGAAGAGAAGCATTTTTCATTAAAACACTTATATTTGTATAAACCAAATAAAATCATCTGTAATATGAACAGCTATAAGTGGTAAGGAAAGAAACTGAACGATACATTACATATTATGATTGGTTTATTTGAAGTGATTGCAAATCATAAATATTATCCTGAAAAAGCATGTGACAAATAATAACACGTAATAGAGAACTAAATTTTCTTTGTTAATCTCTGCTCAAATATCATATTCCAACCGCACACTTTTGAGAGATCATACAGTTATACAAATAACATAAATAAATATTCAATAAGAAAACATATAAAAAAGAGACACATTCTTGACAAATTGCAAATTAACAAATAAAATGAAATCGAAGCCTATAAACAACATTGCAACTCAGACAAGAAAATTGATCAATTTATCAGTAATTTTACACAAATGAAGTTTTTAAAACTAGATGCCATTCCGGTAAATAACATTAAAAAAATCACTGTCGTCGATTGAGTTCTGCATTCTGCTTTTGTTCATCCACAATTGCCGGAACTGGATTCTGAAACTTGGATTCTGGAACGAAAGAAGAAATCAGCAAATCATCGTTAGCCATTATTTCAAATATCTAGAAAGGTAAAACTATGAAAACAGCTGCCATTAAAATATTTTTTTTTTATAAAAAACAATTGTTGTCCGCATACGAACGACAACCTTCAAAATTTTAAACTTGCCTGAGGTCTTACTGTTCAACATACGATTCCTATCAAGTTAAAAGGTGCTTGAATATTCCTTTATCAGAAATAAATAATCAAATCAAAAGACGTACCTCAAATCCCTTTGAAATGGACAGAAGTCTTTACACAAAAACACTTGCAAAGCTCGGCAAATATAATAATGCATGTGTGAAGCATTGATATAGGTAATTTTCGCAAACTGAGGGCAAAATCTAGAGTTGAAGTCAAAATTTACCACTTTCTCTTCGGTACTAGGTAGACAACGCATACTTACTGATATAGCGGAGTTTCTTTCTCAAGTAACCCAAACACCTCAATTTTATCCAATTATAATACTTACCCATGAAAATATCTTCCTACGTCACTTTCCAAACCATACTGGCGCGTACGCGAACATTGTTCTACATTGTTAGTTTCTCATAATACTAAATTCAAATTCTTTTCAATAATATCTATGTTCAAATAAAACAATTTTTTTCAAACTGAAATGAATGAAATACTTCTTTAAAAGAAATCCTGTTCATGTTCATTCTATACAATATGTTCAGTCGATCATAATATAGTTTTATATATACCTACATTAACAAAACTCTTGTTATAAACGAATTGAGTTATTTGAAGGGAAACTGTTTTGAATTCAAACAAACAATATGTTTTCAGATCGAGTTGATATTGCTCTCCATTTGAAACAGTTTATTTTTCTCTTTAAATAGGTGGTAGATTTTGAGATGATATTATATTTTCTTGATTCAAAATAGTTCAACTTCGCAATAACATAATCAAACGAATGATGTCGTTGAAAGGCCAAGAAATTTGATTTCTTCGTTAGAAAAATTGTGTTTCTCTTGTGGAACATGGCGTTGTTGGCATGAAGTAATAATTTCTCCAATAGAGATAAAATTTCAAAGAAACCTATAATCTTCTTTGAAAGAAATGATTTTTACTGTGGACCAATCGCAGATAATATTCAAAAATCTTTTGTACTTTACACTGTCAACCAATTAATCAACAATGAAAAAACCAGAGGTTTCTAAGAAACTGGTCGAGCAATAAGAGGGCAGGGAAACCCAGAGGTTTCTAGGGAGTTGGTCGAGCTATAAAAAGACAATGCTCTGAAATTCACAAAAACACAGGTCATCCTCATCAACTCGTTTTTATTTCTCTGACATTGGTGAGAATATGGAAAAGGAAGATATAATAAGGTCTTTCTGAATACTTTGAGAGACAATTTATAGAAAATTGCAGAAATAAAATGAGTTTGAATGCTGTATCGAGGAGAGATACATATACATTAAAAAATTAATATTTCTAAATGAGATCACAAAACATTCATATCCCGAAGTATCTATACCGTAGGTTCTGGTAAATCCAGCCGCTAAACAACTACTTTCAAAGCTAAAACCACGCTGGACATTGACCTATATTCAACAAACATTTATGAAAGATATCTCACAGAGGTCAGTCTCGCAGATGTTTCTCTTTCATTCAGCAGCAGAACCATGCTGAAATCAGTCCGACCCAAACAGCAGTCCGACCTAAACAGTTGTGTGCTTGGGACTAGATTGATATGGGTCGAATGGATTTGGGTAGGATCTTCCCTGCACTGATGAGAGGTAATATGTCGGAACCGGTCTGTAGGTGATCTACTCGAATAATTTCAGCATGGTCCTGCTGCTAGATGAACGAGAAACATCTGCAAGACTAACCACTCCAAGGTATCTTGCATAACCAAGGAAGTTGTAGTTTGTCGGAAAACATTTATTAGAATCTACGGTGTAGATATTTTGGAATACTCGAGATTTCATTTCGAAATATTCATTTCCTCATAAGATAAAACGAGTCTAAGTTACGAAAAAGAAAATGACACTTTCGTTTCATCATTGTCAATGAAGAATTAATTAGTAACAATCCTTAATTCGACTCACCATTCCCAAGAAAATGTTGGCTGCACTATTGACACTTTCACATATAGAGGTTCCCATAATCCATTGCAAAAAATCTCCAATAACTCCTATTACTTTTTGCATTATACCATAGTAGTACAAAATATTTACCATAAAACTGATGAAGTATATTGTTGAGAGGGCCTGAAATGAGAAAAATGTTATCATTTCTCATGAGAGTGAGCGTAACTCCCGTAGCACGTAATTGTTTAATTTACCTTAAAAGCAAAAACATTTGTTTCTATCAAAATTGATCCATACGCAAATTCAGCACCTTTGAAGGCGTAACCTAGCAATATTTCTACTTTATCACCAAAGCACTGGAGAATATTACGACCCACTTTCCATCTGATTGTTAACAGACCAAAAACAAATTGAAGAATCAGTCCCCAAATAATAATCCTCCACCGAATCTGAAAAAAAAGAAACTGATTTGTATTTTTTTGACGAATGAAGAAAATGTTCTGATGCACGCTACAGTCGCAAATATAGACGCAGATATTATGAATTTCCTTTAGAAACGAAGTAACTTACATAATAACAATCAATTTACATTAATTTTTGAATTATGTGAGACTGGTTGTTGCCCGCAGTTTCGCTCGTGTAGAATTTGGTCTGTCACATTGAGTTCCGTGACAGACCATTTCAAACAAATAGTAACAATATTTTTTTGTTAACCCAAAACTTCAGGTTTCCAACCTGAATACAATACAATGTTTGAATCCCTATTTTTTTCCTTTGGGGGTGGAAATTCCTAATTTCCTTTCTTGATACTTATTTACGCTATACAAGGAACCTTCCTGCATATTTAAAAATTCTAAGTTCAGTAGCTTCGGCTGTACGTTAATGTAAGAGTGGACAACAAGTAATAATTTATATTTTTACTTTAAAAATACAGTTACTAAAAAAATTTGCAAACTGCACTGAGAAGAGAATAGTTTCCAGAATCGAATTATGTTACCTATAAATAAATTCGCAAAACTAACACAACCGTCAGTGATCTTACGCGTCTGCCCGCGTTCGGGTCGCGTATTTGGCGATGGCGCTTCATTTCTCAGACCGCCCCTCTACTTCCGCGCATCATCCCTTGTCGTCTTACAGGAGACGCGACGCGTAATGGCTTACTGCGTTGCGTCAAGTTAATCTTATCGGGATAACTTTTAAACAATTCGTCCAAATTACTTAGTATGAATTTTTATTAGAATTTGACAGATATTCTGAAATGTGCATTGCAAAAAATATCTAATTTAATTGTATTTATGGCCCAGTATCCTGCATATAGAGGCTGCCATATAAAAGGTATATTATCGCGAACTTTTATTTAGAACTATTAAAAATAAACAATCTTACTGTACATTATCTGCATGTAACTCCAATGATATAGGCAGCGCACGTCAAGAAAGCTCTCAGGAAGCAACCATTTTTTCGACTTACTTAATAATTATTTTTATATCATGACAAAAATTGCACAAAATTGACGTGTTCTTTGAAATTTTAGATTACACGTCCGTTTCAATTACACGTTTTCGTTGGAACGCCCTGTATATGTGGGCCATGACTTGGGGTCCATTTTCACTTCTTGTCTTTTGAAGAGTTTTTTCTCGGCTGAAAGTGGAAATTCTGGCTACAACATTTTAGTAAGTTCATCATTCCTTCTCTCAATAATCTCATAAAACTTTTGCACTTTGTTCTTTTGACTTGTTTAAATATAAATTTTTCAAAACGATGTTATTCTCTTTGTCTGAAGGTAGTATCTTCATGGTGTTGCCTTTTGAAAACATCGGTTTTTGAAAGTTATGTAAGTTCTAGTGCAGCCACAGCCTGGTTGATGGATCAACATAAGGATTCCACAACGCAGATTGTTTCCAATGTGAATACGAATATTGGTTTGGGCTTTCCTTCAATGAAGATTTCTCTATCTCAGCGAGTCCGGTTATGTACTTTCTCTCATGTATTGGGTCTTGTTTATCTTCAAAATTTTGAATTAGAGTTAATTGTGTTTGATATTGGTATTGATATCAATTTCGCTCTGTCGATGAATTATTCTTCTCTAAGTAATTTGAAACTTATACGAAGATCGTGAAAAATACCATCGAAAAGATTTTCCACTTTTTTCTTCTGTAACTTAACCAGTAACTGAAAACTTACCGACTCTCATATTTTTTGTTTTTGGATAATGCAACTTTTCTCAGGAACTTCATGCGAGTTCTGATACTTTCCTTCAGAGTTTGGGAACAATATCAACACATTATTTCCAAACAATAAACATTCTTGAAGTTATATGATTTGGTCAAACCTCGCTGGGAATATTAAAGGTTTGTAGATTCAACACGTTTCATGAACTTGACAGAGTATTTACGAATAAGCTATGGTACATAGAGTAAAAGTTGCTTCCGTCAGAGCAATTATCAGGGTCGCTATAAAATAATAATTATCACTAAGAGTGTAAGTTTCACGATTGGATGTAACTGCGATAGACATTAAGGAAGGCGATGAGAAAACGGACCGAGTTATATGATTTCCTTATACGAGTATAATTTAGTGAAGATAGCCGGACTTCATTGAAATTAAATTTTTCCTATTTTCGATTGTATTTGTTTTTATGTTTCTGAATAAATAGTATTGAATATTACTGGAGTTTTTTCCCAACACCAAATCGTTATTTTTAACACCTCGACACGTGTTTGTATGAGACTGTAGAAAAGTAAACAAAATAATATTATGAATAACGATGACGAACCTATACCAAAGAGCATACTATATAGCATGTAAAAATAAAATAATTTTATTGGGTTTACTGATTACTACATAAGGAGACATTGCAAAAATAAATTTGGATAAGCAATATTGTGAAATTAATTTTTATATAGCTGAAAATTGTTTTATATAAACATATATTGTGAAATAAGTGATAAGGCAAAATTGTAAAATTAATTTAGGTTGGTATACCTGTATGGGTGGTACGCCTGGATGGTTTACCTGTATGGGATACCTATATAGCATGAATAGGTTAGCTCGCATTAGTTTCTAGTTTTAATCTTCCTCTTTGAAGATGATCACTTGGTGATCGAAACACGTGTCGAGGTGTTAAAAATAACGATTTGGTGTTAGGAAAAAACTCCAGTAATATTCATTACTACACCAGAAGTTCCAAACAGTTTAAAAATCTGTTTAAAATCTGTTTTTTCGTTAATCAGCTGTCGCCCTCATACGAACGGCAACTCTCAGAAGTTGAGAAACTTGTGCGAGCTAAGGACTAACGAGGTCTCACATAACGTGTGATTCCTAACACGGTTGCAGAATCATTTCAGCTTCAACCAGATAAATTATCTCGAGAAAAAAATTCTGGTCGAGGCGGGAATCGAACCCACGGTCTTTCAATCGTGAGTCGGGCGCACTACCACCGCGGCCAATTCCACAACTGTGCATCATAACTAAATAGTATTGGCTAGTAGTTTCGAATTCTCCCAATCAGCTGGATATCTTCAAACACGATAATGTAAGTATCCTCACTGAGTGCATGTTCTGTTACTGCTCACTTGTCCGTATGCCCCAAGCGACAATTCATCTTGTGTTCAAAGAGCCGGGTACTTAGACTATTTTCGTGGTTCCAATGTAGACAGTAGATCCTTCACTGCCTTTAGACTTTCCCTGATGATTTCAGTCGGCTCGAATAGCGATATCCAAAATAAAGATGGATAAAAATATCATCGTGTATGGACCTTTCCCTAAGTAAAATGTTTTCACCAAAACACTCTATCCACAGCACTCTGGATTTTACATGAAAAAAGAGATCCAATATACTCCGGCATTCCTTTCACAGAGGCGCTAAGCGCTCATCGATGTTAACATTTGGAAACGATTCTTGATGCATCCATTAACCATGTGTACGGAGTTGGGTCAATTTTGTTTCTCGAGCCGGGAGATCTTGATGAAACAAAAGCGAATCTGGTTTTTTCAACGCAAGGGTGTCTTTGCACCTTTCCCAGAACTATAAACTCAATCAAAAGCAATGTGTAAATGCAAGCCAGACATAAGTGGAATTACCTGGTGGTGTGACACTCAAGTTTGATGAAATAATCGTCTTTTTTGTCTGCAGTTTATCTTTATTCGAAGTCTGTCTGCCCGGTACTGACGATGCACAATAGGCTGTAATATCAAATTGATCTGAAGATCTTTCCATATTAGTGAACAACGTGAAAATTTGGTTAGCAAACTTTAGAGTCACATCACTAGATTGTTTCAGACCACCTGCCCAGCAGTAATGATGCCCAAAAGAGTATGTGTGTGTGTGTGTATGTTCATGTGTGCTATATACGGCATGATGAAATCATTCCCCCAGTTAAGTGAATAAAATCAGTAAAAAAGTAACTCTCACCTTAGATTTATTGGGACACAAGAGATATCCTATGAGAAGAAATACACAAAGACCTGAAATCGGTATGAGCCTCCCTCGATTATCATTTGTATCGAATGCCAAATATACGGCGGCAATGATGAAAATAGAGATGTAAAAGATTTGTGAACCATATCTGAAAATGAGTAAAGAAAATTTGGATTGAAGAAATATACTTCATTGACGCTGTCAAAGTTAAAGTGAAATGATTAAACAGTATAAGTTGATAGTGAAGACGCATTTCACCAGCTCTAAAAAAAAATAAAGTGAACATTTAATGAAATCAAACCCATCAATGTGTTACATCAGACAATAAAAGCATGTCAGGAAATTCACCCATTTTATGAAAAACTTCCTGTATTATTACTTATATCTTATTACTTATTGTAGTTTTTTTTGAGACAGGTAAACCTCGCGACGAGCTTCTATATCATATTATTTGTATAATGGGATGAATCAATGGGTATGACTCGTATTTTTTCAGCAAATCCTTTCATTTGGCACCCATGTCATGAGAGTGCATGTAAAAACTAATCTACCATCTTGAACGGTCCGACATATTGCATTCAAATGAGGGCATGTTGTCGCTCATATCCACCCCCATATCATGGGGGTGGATGAAAACTAGTCCGCCATCTTGGGTAAACTATCATATTGCATTCAGAGTGACGCTATATTATTTTTCATATTATTTTTAGCCAACCCTTCGATTTGATGTCATAATCACGAAGGTACATAGTACATAGTACATAGTACCATATTTGGCGCTCCACCATGTTCGATGAGGAATGGCGTTACTTAGCTATACATATATTTCCATCCGAACTGTATGTTCAATCGATGAGGATAACTACTTCAAGATTCAGCTGCAAGATATGACCCGAAGTAACATACATACACACTTACATACGTACTTCCGAACTTACGTACCTATATACATACAATCGTACATACATACATACGGTGATGGCACGGTGGATGGCACATTGGACGTTTCTGGTGAACCAGACAACGGATCACTTTGAAAATTTAATGGAGGGCATATTCGGACATTCTCTAGCCAACTAAAATATTTTCGACAATGCGGTGTTGCCGCTTCTATTAGAAAGCAGTAGCAACTTTGATTTTTCAAATGGAACACTCTGTATATAATATTATTTTTGGAATCTCCAACAATTGCCC